GGGCCTGACCGGCGTGCCGGAGACCTACGTGATCGACGGCGCGGGGCGCATCCGCTACCGCCACGTCGGCCCGATCAACCCGCCGGAGGTGGAGAGCAAGATCCTGCCGGCCGTCGCGGAGGCGCGCCAATGACGCGAGGCTGGCAATGAAGCGATTCTGGCTTGCCCTTTTCGCCGCGCTGCTGCTGGCGCAGCCGCTCGCGGCGCCGCCGGCCCTGGCGGTGATGCCGGACGAGATCATGGAGGACCCGGCGCTGGAGGCCCGCGCCCGGGCGCTCTCGAAGGTGCTGCGCTGCGTGGTCTGCCAGAACGAGTCGATCGACTCCTCCAACGCCGACATCGCCCGGCAGATGCGCCTGGTGGTGCGCGAGCGGCTGCTCGCCGGCGACAGCGACCAGGAGGTGCTCGACTACCTGCAGGCGCGCTACGGCGACTACGTGCTGATGAAGCCGCCGGTCAAGCCGACCACCTACCTGCTGTGGTACGGACCGGCCGGCGTCCTGCTGCTCGGCGCCCTGGGCGTCGGCATCTACCTGCTGCGCCGGCCCCGCAAACCGGCGGCGCCCCAGCCGCTGAGCGAGGCCGAGCGCCGCCGCCTGAAACGCCTGCTCGACGAAGAGGGCGCATGAACTGGATCTTTTGGATTGCCGCGGCCGCGCTTTCGGCCCTGGCCGTCGCGCTCGTGCTGCGCCCGCTGCTGCGCCGCCCGCGGGAGGCGGCCTCGACCAGCGCCTACGACCTGCAGGTCTACAAGGACCAGCTCGCCGAGGTCGCGCGCGAGCTGCAGCGCGGCAACCTGACGCCCAGCGAGGCCCAGGCCGCCCAGGCCGAGATCGAGCGGCGCATGCTGCAGGTCGCCGAGACGCGGGCCGAGGACGCCCGCCGGGAGGCCAAGCCGGCCCGCGCCTTGGCCATGCTGCTCACCGCGCTGCTGCCGCTCGGCGCGCTCGGCCTCTATCTCTTCGTGCTCGGCTCGCCCGGCATGCCCTCGATCCCCTTCGCCGAGCGGCAGGAGGAGCGCCAGCAGCTCAACGAGCGCCAGCGGCTGATCGCCGAGCTGGCCGAGCGCATGCGCGCCGACCCGCGCGACCCGCGCGGCTGGGAGATCCTGGCGCGCAACTACGCGGTGATCGGCCGCTACGAGCAGGCCGCCGCCGCCTACGAGCAGGCCATCGCGCGCGGCTTCGACCGGCCCGACCTGCGCGCCCAGCGGGCCGAGACGCTGATCGCCGCCGCCGACGGGGTGGTCACCCCGGCCGCCCAGGAGGAGATCGCCGCCGCGCTGGCGCAGGACCCGCAGGAGCCGCTGGCCCGCTACTACCGCGGCGTGATGCACGAACAGGCCGGCGAGCCGCGCCAGGCGGTGGAGGCCTGGGCGGCGCTGCTGCGCGACCTGCCGCCGGACATCACCGGCCGACAGCAGATCCAGGCGCGGCTGAACCAGGTGGCGCGGGCCGCCAACATCGATCCCACCGGCTTCGACACCGCCTCCACGGCGCCGCCGGTCGGCGCCCCGCCGGCCGGACCGCTGGCCGGCGGCGAGGCGGCCCGGCCCGGCCCGACCCGCGAGCAGATGCAGGCGGCCCAGGACATGAGCCCGGAAGAGCGCCAGCAGATGGTCGAGGGGATGGTCGAGCGCCTCGCCGGGCGGCTGGAGGAGGAGCCGGAGGACCTGGAGGGCTGGCTGCGCCTGGCGCGCGCCTACGCCGTGCTCGGCCGCCGCGACGAGGCGGTCTCCGCCCTGGAGCAGGCCGAGTCGCTGACCCGCGACCTGCCCGCCGACGACCCGCGCCGCCAGGCGGTCGAGCAGGGCCTGACCTCCCTGCGCAGCGGCTCCTGAACAACCGCGGCCGGCGCGCGCGAGCCCGCCGCCACCTCACCGAGCGCGCAGCGCCCGCGCCGCGCTCGGGGTCGCCGCAGGGCCGGGACTCTGGGCCGGGACTCTGGGCCGGGACTCAGGGCTGGGACTCTGGGCCGGGGCTCAGGGGCAGGGGATGGTGTGGCGGGCGTGGATCGCCTCCAGCTCCGCCAGCAGGTCCTCGGAAAGCTGGACGTCCAGGGCCGCGAGCTGGGTCTCGAGCTGCGCCAGGCTGGTGGCGCCGACGATCGAGGCGGTGGTGAAGGGCTGGCGCAGCACGAAGGCCCCGGCCAGCACCTCCGGCTTGAGGCCGTGGCGCCGGGCCAGGTCGACGTAGGCGCGCACCGCCGGCTCGGCCGCCGGCGTCTTGTAGCGGTCGTTCTGGGGGTAGAGGGTCAGGCGCGCGCCGGCCGGCTGGGCGCCGTCCAGGTACTTGCCGCTGAGCACCCCGGCGGCGATCGGCGCATAGGCCAGCAGGCCGCAGTCCTCGCGCAGCGCCACCTCGGCCAGACCGACCTCGAAACTGCGGTTGAGCAGGCTGTAGGGGTTCTGGATCGAGACCATGCGCGGGCCCCGGCCCTGTTCGGCCAGCTTCAGGAAGGTCATCGCGCCCCAGGCCGTCTCGTTCGACAGGCCGACGTGACGCACCTTGCCGGCGGCGACCAGGTCGGCCAGCACGCCCAGCGTCTCCTCCAGCGGCACGCTCTCCTCCTCGGCCGCCGGCCGGTAGCCGAGACGGCCGAAGGTGTTGGTGGCGCGGTCCGGCCAGTGAAGCTGGTAGAGGTCGACGTAGTCGGTCTTCAGCCGGCGCAGGCTGTCGTCGATCGCCCGCTCGATGTTGGCGCGGTCGAGCCGGCAGGCACCGTCGCGGATGTAGGGAAAGCGCGGCCCCGGCCCGACCACCTTGGTCGCCAGCACGATTTTGTCGCGGCACTTCCGGCTCTGCAGCCAGTTGCCGATGATCTCCTCGGTGCGGCCGTAGGTCTCGGCCGAGGGCGGCACCGGATACATCTCGGCCGCGTCGAAGAAGTTCACCCCCCGCTCGACCGCCAGGTCCATCTGAGCGAAGCCCTCGTCCTGGCTGTTCTGCGTGCCCCAGGTCATGGTGCCGAGGCA